GTGTGTGTGTGTGTGTGTGTGTGTGTGTGTGTACGCGCACATGTATGTGGCAGCAGATTGCAAACATTTCCTGTGTTTGTCTTCCTGTATCTTGTTGGTGTAAATGGGAATCCTGAGGAGGGAGGGAATAATCCTTATGTATCTCTTTCTTCAACCAACTGGAACATCGCTCTCGCCTCTTGCTAGAGGAGCACACGCACACAAACAAACACAAACACGCTACCCAACCAACCATGAAATCGTAATGTCAGACCTGTTAATGCCTCTAGATAGCAGCCACTGTATCCCTGCGTGGTTTTGCCCGATACACATAAACACACACATACACACAAATGAATAAACAGAGAGCTATCTGTTACTCTCCGGCAGGAATCTTCTATTCAGCAGTGGCTGGTTGTTAATTTCTACACTCTGGGGATTGCAGGTTGCCTCAGAAAACAGTTCAATTCGTATGAATGAAATACATATAAAAGTTTACTTTGAGCACGCTCGTATTTCCCCAAAACTCCTGACCAGTTTTATTTGCACTAATCATTTTAATTGCATGCATCAACATGCTATTTCTGCATCCTGTTAGTTCAGAGTTATTGTGCCTGTTTGTGCATTTGTGACATGTATCCACATTTATAAGCGGCTATATAGAAAGTGCTCTTCTTTAACCAAACCATAAACTTTCAAGAATAAAATTGGCAAAAGTAGCTCAGGTTTATTTTCATTCTTTTTACATTTGTTTCATGCATAATAAATGCAGAATAATAAGCTGTCAGCATTAATACAAGTTAGAAGTCGAGGTGATTATTTTTCAAGCTTAATTGAAAGATTTTAAAACGAAGCTTAACTTATGGTTCAATTCATTCATTCAGTGCTTTTTTTGTTGATACTTTCCTTTAAAGATAGAAACTCAACTAGACTTAAATGATTTACAAGGGAAGTTTAGTTGAAAGCAACTATCGTGCAATTTATTTGTGTGCTCTGTCAGATTCCTATCATTAGTCCACATACCTTTCTAAAACATAACTGATGTCAGTTCAGAGCAACATAGTCTTTACTTGATCCTATGCGTCAAAACATCCAATCACACTGTGACCTCTGTTTATTAAAACTGATGCACAGTTCTAATGGAGAATCTACTCATCCCGTGTGCTGGAATATTTCAAGATCTGAACACCATGTACATGATGCTCTGTTTGCTTGCACGTGTGAGAAGGACACCAACTCAGTGATCTGTTTATTAGATGTGACTAATGAGTAATTTGCATCCAATCTGTTGTTGATGCCTTTGCATTTATGCACCTAACTATCACAGTATCAACATGAACTTTTGCTTCTGTATTCTGCCACGTTTGTTTGGGTGTACTTTCCCATCAATCTATGTATATCTTCTGTCAGCCGTGTGTGTGTGTGACAGGGCCAGGTTTGGTGCCACAGAGATTCACCCTGTCAGTTTCCATGTCTCTTCGTCTGTCCCGGCGGCGTCACTCTTCTCCCTCGCTGCACAGATCAAAGAGCTGACACATGCCCCAGTGTCCTTTCTCTTTTCCATCTCTAACTCTCACTTCTTGGCTCTGTCATTCTTGCAATCTTAGCCCGCTGTCTTTTTCACTAACCCCCATCTTTCTGTCCTTATATCCAGCTTTCTCCCCGACTATATCAGTGGGGATTTTGATTCCATTACAGCAGAGGTCAAAGCTTTCTATGCAGACAAGGTAAGTGGAACAAAACTTGCACGCACTCTTATACCTACAGGTGTTCATACAGAAGAAGTAGGATTGTAGGGAGAGTCCATAACACATGTTGTAGCATCTGGATGTACAAAGAAAAAAAGGTAGTTGCTTAGAAATTATAGTGGATTAGTCCAAGAAACAAAGGGTAGCCTAGTTCAACATCTGGAGCAGCTGGTTTGTCTAAAAAGCCTAGTACGGTAATTTGTATATGGTAAATGTTAAACGCATTTTTCTTCTTACTGACCACTCAAATCACCACACCCAGCCATTAACACACAGGGAGACATTCAGCAGTTTATTCTGTATTTTAAGCATTGTATCTGTCACTTCTGAAAAGAGGCTTGTAGAAGTGAAGATAGAAAGAAATTTATCACTCTGTGAAAAAAACTAATGTTCTTAAGAGTAAGAAAAAGAGAAACAAAATCATTTTTCAAGAGTAATGCAAAATTACATAGGCTGTGAAGATGCTCAGCTTAACTACATGATAGTAATCTATTCAGAGAATCTTGAGATCATGCAGGAGACGAGGTCACTGAATGGCTGCGCTTTTGGGCCTGGCATTAGATGTGACAGACGTGATTCTGTAGTGAAAATATCCGATAGGGTTCAGGAACAGCTTCAAAGCCAATTTTCACTGAACACAGTTCGTGCCTGCATCAGATAAACTGAGGCAAAGTGGAAAACCATCCTGTCACCTGGCAAGTCAAAATTTAGAATTCTGCTTGTGCCCCCTGGGCTAAAGAGAGGATCAACCTCCTGGCTTAGTGCACAGCTGAAAGTCTACTCTGTGTGATGATATAGGTGTGCACGACACAGGTGACCTATATTTGAAGGAAAATGTAATCATTTCTATGAGCACTTGCCTCTTAGCATTTATAAATACAAATTTATCTTTGGGTTGAATCTCACACACTCGCATTTACTAAATATTTTCGGAGTCATACATCACATCCCACACAAATGTTTTCAAAATTAACCAGTAGGTGTTCCACACCTCTTGCCCAGTCTCAGTAGCGATAGTCTCCAGTCCCTTCACGACCCTGAATTTGATAACGTTTGGGTCACACAAGCTTGGAGAATGATTTCAGCAATGTCCTGTCTCATGGGAAAAATGTGTATTCCCTGAATGCTTGGAAAGTGACTCTTGGAGATTGTCGACTGTTGCTAGTTGAAATCAGTTGCAAATAGGGTGCTTGTATTTGTTTGGGTTGCTAGCACAATGCCACGGTTAGCTGTAGTCTGCATGGAAAATGCCAACTTGTCTGCAAATACTTAAAAACTTAGCACTGAGCAATAGTGAAACTCGAAGAAATGCAACACAAACGTGAAATAGAGCCCGTTTGCCTTCAGAGTAAATATTAGATCTTTTGAAACATGTTGGTTTCAGCAGTAAGAAAAACAATCTAAACTACCAGTTTGCAGTCTTCACAGTTTCACAACCACCTAGCGAATAGTTGCCAAATATTTGCAGACACATTGGCATCTTTCCAACAGGCTACAGCTGTGGCAATCTGTTACAGACCTAAACAATCACAGGGAGGTTTTTAGTGCAGCACCGTACACCTCTTTGTTATTAATTCCACGTAGTGACAGCAAACAACTTACTCATCATCCAGTCAGGTAATATACATTTTTCCCTAGCAACCGGTGGTTACCAGGGTCACTGACTGGCCTTTGAGCCTGGATGTGTGGGGCTTATCAAGTGATTTCACTGCAACTACCAGCAACCACTCACAACCATTCAGGGGAACACTCAAGTAACCGGTGATTGCAAGGCAGCCAATCAGTCCTAACTGAGGCCTTAGCAGTTAAGAGGATGGATTCTTAGATGGAGGAGCATCTTCTTCACTTTTTCAAATTAATCATTGCTAAAAATCAACACTATATTTTAAAAAGTCTTCATTAATCAGTGATCATGAAATATTATAATACTAATGATAAAAAAATCCATACAAAACTACTAGAAACTGGATAAATGCACAAAAATAACATCTGAAACGGGTTAGCTACACATAAAGATTAAACTTTGGATGAGGATATTGGAAATGGACAAAGCAATCTGCATTTTTTGTAGGTGACTAAGTTTGCAGGTTTAACATAACACGGTCCAGGTACAAGAAAGTGCTTCTCCAGAGTCCCCCTTTGACATTCTTCGTTGTAGCCTTTACTCCCTGTGTACCTCACTGTGCAAGAAATTTGTACATGTAGGCATATTTAGATTCAACTATTCAAGGTCATAAAAATAAAATGCAAATGATTTCATGAAGGGGACTTTCCATTGTTTATAGCAAGCAAAATGTCAACCCACAAGCGCTGTTCAATAAATAATTAATACAGGGCAAGTCAGACATGCATACACACACCCACACCTTAGAGAAAACAAAATACAGTGCCTGTGCGATCTTTGTGCTGTGTCACTTTGATCAGATGCTACTGATGCACACTGTTTACAGTTTGAAATGCAGATTCGGTATCATCACACGTACACACAACACACACATGATTAGGCACCCATCACAGATTATCTGATGTCTTCAGCTGTTTCTCTCTCCTTTTTTCTCTTCTCACGATTTCCCCGGCTCTCTCTGTAGCTATCTGTGATATTAGACCCTTTTCACAAAAATCACACAGGTTGTCTGGAAAAAAAAAGAGAGAAATGCCTTTTTTTGAGGGGGGTGAGAGAAAAACAGTCTGTTATGGTAATGCCTTTGAAGCAGAAATATGGGAAAATGCGAGCTGTTCCTTCAGAGATTTCTGGCAAACGGTGAATAATTCTGCATAAATGGGAGGGAGAAAACAGAAAAGCATCAGCAAGGGAGGGAGGGAGGGAGAGATGGGGGGTGGAGGGTTGGTGGAAGAGGAGGGGAGAAGAGGGAGGATGGATGGGATCAAACAGAGCACAGCGAACAAGTTTGTGATATGACTGCGTGTGTGTGTGTGTGTGTGTGTGTGTCAGTCAGTGAAGTAGCAAAGTCACTGTGTTTTGGAGGAAAGTGACACTGGAGAGAGAGAAAGAGACAGAAGGAAAGTAAGCCGGAGCATGGTTGTTGTAGTTTAGGGCCACTGACTGGAACCTCTACATTATTCAGCAACACAAGCCGAAGACAGCCAGACAACAGTAAAACACTGATTTATACCTCTCTCCATCTCCCTATCGCTTTCAGTTTTTCTGTTATCCCCCTATCCCTTATCTTAGGTATTTGTTACACTATCTATGTTTATGTACATCTGTTGGATTGTGTTTTGTTGCCTGCTTGTTTTTTTGTGATTTTCTTTTTAATATATTGATATTTGTGCGTGTGTGTAGGGGTGCAAGCTGATAGAAACAGCTGACCAGGATCTTACGGACTACACCAAATGTCTTGCAATCATGGTGGAGGAGATTCAGAAGCGACAGCTACAGGTAAATGCCACACAGCTCATATATGGTTCTGACTTACTTCTGATATTTATGGTTTATATTTTAAAGGAATTCTTTGACATTTTGGAAAACACTTTCTTCTGAATTTATCAAAATGACTGTTAAACTCCAGTCCTATAAGACAGCATAAAGTCCTGGATGCAGGTGGCAAAAGCTTATCCAAATATCCCTAATGCCAAGGTCAAAGTCCATGTTGGGCAGATGTATTGGGCAGTATTACGGACATAAAATCCTAATCTGTTGTTTGCACTGATCAGATTAGCAAACTATAGTATTGTTTGGTGATTATTTGGCGATAATTGGGCTTGATAGGTACCCCTGTGCTAAAAATGTTCATATGAGCATAATGCATATGCTTTAGTCCATATTGCTTTATTAAAGTCACATTTCATCTACATATCACTTTCAGAAACAATTGTTTTTTTTATTTCATTTCACTAACAGTTTTTATGACAGTAACTGGCTGCAGATGTAGCACCGGGTAAAAGAAATAAGCAAGGCTCACGTCTCCCTCAGTTTTGTGCCCTTAAGTAAGGCATTCAGTCTTCAGGTACTTAAGATCAGGTGCTCAGAGGTCAGTAGTGTTTTACTGTCGGTTTTCTTGTGGCAAATCCCTGTAGTGAATGCGTGTGGGTGTATGGATATGAAACAATCTCTTTGCCTGAAAAGACCATCCATGCTCACTCAACGTCCCCTGAAGAAATAGCTGCTGAAAAATATCATTGGAATAGCATTACACCTACACAGAAAATGCAAAGTGAGATTTGGCTGTCTTAAAATATGAAATACTTCACTTTTGTTGTGATCTTTTTCAAAGTGTAAAAAGATTTCCCAACAAGCTGATATGCACTACTCTGAAATGAGCTAAACAGGCTGCTCAGCGCCTCATGCCCAGTTTGCTGCTGCAGAGCCAGACACGCAGACAATAACACGATCCAGAGATTCATTCAGTTTCCAGCCTGACTCCCAAAATGCCAACAGAATGTCCATAATGTTAGTAATTTAGTAAACAGCACAGTTTTTAATTTAAAAATGCTAATAGTGATGATTGTTAAGACGAGCACTGTCCTAGAACATTATCTTTTGACGCTGCCTTCCTCTTGACCTTTCTCTGTTTCTTTTTGTCCTTTTAGTAGAATTTTTAACAGCCTAATAAGTGTTGCTCCAATCACACACTAGCGTCCCAATCACTTCACATTGCTAAGCTACAGAAACCCATTCATCTCATATTCACATGTTGCCACATTTTTACTCTGTTGCTCACTGCCAGGCTTTAAGAGGAGCTATACTTTTGTCCTTCCTTTCCGTGGGCTCTTTTTTTTCTCCCCCAGCTAATATGTAATCTGCCTTTGAACCGGCACACACTGTTTGTCTGTCTGTTTGCCTGCAAGAGATAGGAGCCTGGCAATCAGTTTTTGGCTCCCTGTAAGAGTTGCTGGTGATGACTTTTTCTGTTTGTTTCCCAAGGCTTTTCCATCTTTCTTTACCCACTATAACTCTTACTTGACCTTTTGTTCTTTTCAGCACTTAGAATAGGCATGGGTTATATAAAATACTTTTTTATGGTAGTTTTATACGTATTCTTTTGTTTTCAGATTCACTGATTTTCATTTAATGAATTATATATGTAGATGAAGTAATAACATATGCAGATTACTGGGCATTGTGATGTTTGGGCTTTGAAGAGTCGCCCTATCAGCCCCCGTATGTTTTTCCTCCATACAGCTTAGCACTCAATTGATCTCATATTGTGTTGGTTGAAATCCTCCCTAAAAAAATGTTACCATGGGATTATGCTGGGTAGATTAGTGTTTGTTTACATACATATATATATATTTATATATGTGTAGTTATGTTTGTGTGTTAGTGCTTTGAAAAGTGTGTATCTCTGTGAATGTGTTTGTGGGCAGCTAGTTCTTCTGTGTGTGAATTCAGTTGCTGTTTACATGTGTTTTCCTCTCTAAGAAGCGCACATGTGTATGTGTGTCCCCAAGTCTGATAGGTCTGCTGGTCTGTTTATCCTCTCACAGCTCTGTTTAGTTAGCTCATTTCTTCTCAATCCCCCATTTTTACTTTCTTTAGTCTTTCTTTGGTTGTTATCCTTAATAAATGGAAGTGGGGTTTTTTTTTGTGTTTGTTTCTTTTTTTGCTTACTCCTCGTCTCCTAGCCAACCAGTAAAGAGAAGTGACCAAATGTATAAAATCAGCTTGTGAAGTTTTCTTCATTGAGCCATGAGAGTTTCCTTGCTCCGCTTACTGGTTTGTTTTTAGTAAACAAACATGAAATATGAACAAATAAAAATTCATACAGTTGTGTAGTCTTTGATATGCGTAGCTGCCAGAACAGAAGTGATGATGGAAAGCGAAGATTGAGCAAGCCGGTGTGTCATTGGACGTTGAAACACAATACAGTGTTTTGTTTTGTTTCTTTCATCCTCTTCTCATTGTTCTGCATTCTTTTTTCAGTATTTGTTATTTTTTTAAGATTCCGTGTCCTGTATTTTTGTCACAGTGTCAAGAATTTAGAACTAACCCTGATTTTGTCAGAGCACTCTTGTACATAACAATTATAAAGGCATGTGTTCTTACTAAGCTATAATACGGGTATGGAGGACATCACAGATGAATTTGGGGCTTTACTGTTGCAGGTAAGAGGTCACACTTAAATAAGAAAATACATAAGTGTTCTGTGGATTTATTATTGAATAATAATTTGCACTAAAAGTGACAGGTGGTAATGACAGATTGTCTCACATCTCCAAATCCCCTTAATTTGTCCTGCAGACCTCCACTGTTGTTCAAAAACACACGTGCTCTTTGGCCACCTTGTCAGATACACCTAATTACACATTGCAGAAACTCTATGCATTTAGGTAAAGACTGAAGTTGCTGAAGTTGAAACCGAGCATCAGAATGGGGAGGAAACAGGCTGGTCTGCGTATTTCATAGAAACTGCTGATCTACTGGGATTTTGCAGAGAATAGGGTGAAAGAGAGAAAATATCCAGTGAGCAGCAGTTCTCTGAGTGAAAATGCCTTATTGATGCCAGAGGTCAGAGGAGAATATCCAGACTGCTAGAAGTTGATATTAAGGCAACAGTAACTCAAATAACCACTTTCTAAAAGATGTGCAGAAGCACATCTACGAATGCAAAACACATCTAACTTTGAAGGAAATCAGCTACAACAGCAGGTACCATTCTAAAACCCTGAATTAAGGCAGTTCTACAGGCAAAAGCGGGCCTAACCCGGTACTAGCAAGGTATACCTTGGTCATTGAGTGTAGATGATCCACTCTGACACACAGGTTGACACGGGCGTAGTGCTATAAAACATTAAATGTGTAGGCTATTGTTATGTAGATAAAAACAGCCCTTTTTTGACTCTGGTTTGAGTAATGGTTGCTAAAAGCTAACTTGCTCAGCAGTTTCATTCTTGCGATATGTTAACACAAAGAAAAATCACAGAGTAACAATATCTGTATCATGTTAAGAGTGGAGTTTGTTTACCAAGTGTTGTTAACAGTTAGGTGATGTCTCTGCATGTGGGGGCGTCTGCCAGATGTTGAAATAACCTCAATCTCAGCACTTTGTTTTGTTTTAACTGCAACTCCTGAGGGAGAAAGTCAGTTATGACATATTTGGTTTGGCAATTTGTGCTCCCGTTATGAACTAAAGCACAAGTTATGGCTTAGTTCCTTTAAGTGATGAAGAACATTGAATACACTGAAGTAGTAGTGCACTGTTGTCAAGTAAACAAGGTAATAAAAAAGGCCTTTTTGGCTGACAAAGGCACACTGCAGTAGTTTTCTGCAGTGTAATTACAAATGGGCAAAGCATGCACGCACATAGGGCTGTGCAATATGACCAAAATCTCATATCCCGATATAAAACATCTATCGTCCCGATAACGATATAAATCACAAAAATGTAACATTTTCTGTAAATTCCTGTCAGCTCGACTTGCGTGAAGTGTTTCCAGCTGCGCGTCATGTAGCTGGAGTCGAGTGTTTTAACCGATGCATGAAACGATACATTTTTAGACATAAGTTGTAAAGGCCGCCGTTTTCTTTGTGAGTATTTATTACACGGCGTGCTGCGGGGAAAAGCCTGTTCTAACGTTTGAGTCTAAGGTTTATTTTTTAGCACCTGGCGGCTCTTTTTTGCTTCTCATCCGTAAACACTCTGCATACTCTTTCACGTGATTCAGTTTATTTTGAAAAGTCTCAACAGGATCTTGATTGATTGATCATACTTTATTCATCCCAAGGGAAATTGGGTTAAGGCTGCCAGCCGTGCCAGCGCCATCTTACCCTTCCGACCATACATACATTACACAAACATCACATGGGGAAGACAGGTCAGAGGGGTATAACATGGAAAATGCACAACATGAGGAAAGATAAGGAGAAAAAAATAACTCCCCCCAGACTGAGCTCCAACAGGGAGATCAGTTTGATCTCCCTGTTGGAGCAAAAAACAGTTTGAGAAAAAACACCTCTGCACATAGCACATGAAAAAACTCTTAATGCACCAAAGAAACACATGACAAGCAACAGGGATGGGTAAAGGGTGAGAGACAGCCAGTGTAGACAGTGCATCCACCCCTGCAGCATAAGCGCTGGTCTCCTTGATCTATCGGAGGGGAATAAGCGTCGAAGGCGTTTGGAGGGGGAGGGGGGATGAGTGTATATCTGCATGTGTATATATGTTTGTGTGTGTGTGTGTGTGTGTGTATGTATGTATCCATCTTGAGCTTTATTGTGAAAGGTTTATGTGGAAAATAAACAAGCGGACACGCGATGGTTTTACCATCATTGTTGCTAACGACAAGGCATAAAAACAGGCGCTTGTCCGTCCGTAGTGTGGTTATATTAAATATAAGAGAAAGAGTGAACTTCAAGAAATTAATATAGCCACTACAGTGACCATCAAAACAATGAAAAAATATTGCCGTAAACAGTTTATTTTGCGACACCACAAAACAAACGATAGCGTAAAATGAAACGATAGACGTTTTTATATCGTCATCCGTTATGTCGTTATATCGAACAGCCCTACACGCACATATAAAAAATAAGCCTATAATCGTATCTACAGTATTTACACAAATGCACATTTTTAGTAGCTGTGCTTCTGTACGCTACCACAGTGGATTTGACAAAAAAAAAACCCAAAGATGTCATTGAAGTTATGACTCTCGGCTTTAATTTTATACATACTACCCCAATTTTAAAGACGTATGTTCTGCTTGGCCTTTACTGCAGCTACCTTCATTTGTTACTTGTTTGTGTGTCTTTGTTGCATTCAGTTGTGTATTTTATAATTGAAAAGCATGCTGCATTGGGTGGAACATTTATCAGCTCTTCAATGGCCAAGTCAGTCAATCTAGTTTCTTTTCTTTGAGCAACTCTTGGGTTGCTTTTGCAGTATGCTTTGGGTCATTATCCATCTGATCAGAGATTTCTATCAAAAGTCTGCTAGTTCTATCAATAGTTGTGTCATCAGGAAAAATAAGTGACCTGGTTTAATTGTTCTCATTTGCTTTAGTTGTCTCCCTTGGTCTTTCAAACCTCTTGGTGCTGCTGAGATGACCATTGCATTTCTTTTTTCCTAAGAATGTAACAGATTGTTGATTTGGCCATTGTTGTGGCCACATCATGTGTTTGCAATATCTCTGATGGGTTTATTTAGGTTTTTCAAGCTAATGATGACCTTTAATTACATCAATTGGACTTCATATTGAAAGTTCCAGCAAACTGCTACCATATGCAAATTCAACACTTAGAATCAGCTCCAGATCTTTTATCTGCTTAATTTGTTTTTAAGGGAACAGACCTCATGTGTATATGAAACTGTTTGCCAGTCAGTTGTCCGATTACTTTTGAGCTTCTGAAAATGAGTGATTATGCCTATGTATAAAAATGGTCGTGATTCTTAAACAGTTAATGTTATACTTTTGTAAACACTTTAGGCTAAAGCTGAAAGTGTGCATGTTGGCCTGTTATGATGTTTAATTTAAAATCCATTTTGGTGGTGTACAAAAATATATAAGAATATATACAAAATTGTTTCAAGTTGTTCTCAACTTAAGTAACCACTTCACTCTCTCAGCTCTCCTGCACTCCCTGCCCAGCTTTACTGCTTGACACATATGCACACTTATACAAGGCCTTCAGAAAAAATGGTTATGTATGTATGGAGCCTGAGAAATTAAGCATTCTACTTTGAGGAATATCATCTAAAAGTAGCATAGATTTCAAATGTCCCAATTTGTGCAGCATTAGTTGCTTTAGCAACTTCAGCCCAGGAGCAAACTTTCTGATGCAAGAAGGAGTCTCCAAGAACATGAAAAATGTATCACAGGATCTGCAGGTACATTAATTCCTGCAAAGTTGGTCTCAAATGTGCGTGTTTCTGCAACTGGGAAAAGACTATAAAAAAATTAACCTGCATTTATAAAAATTATATTAGAAAAAATAAAATGGTTAGGAAATTAAAACAAAGCCAAAGAGCTTTGAAATAATAACCTGTGGATAGATCAATCCAAGCTATAATGGCAGTTGATACTTGGGCACAAACCAAAGGCAGCCTTTTAGGATAATTTCATGGCAGTTGGGACACATGGTGGTGGAAATGCTGTAGTTTGGGCTTGTTTCACCGCCTCAGGGACTGGTCTTTGATCATCTATGAATTCTGCTTCATATCCAAAACTACTTGAAGATAATAGGCCATCTGTCTCCATGCTGAAGTTGAACAAGAAGTGGATAGGATAATGATTCTAAGCACACTTTCATATCCGCTAAGGAATAGTTTGAAAAGAAAAAAAGAAAGAAGGGTTATGGAACAGCCTAGTTAAAGCCCGAATTTGAATTGAAAATAAATATTGCAGGGAATATAAGGGACAGCTGAAGCTGAAAGCCGACAGCTCGCTGATTCTAATGTTTCAGCGGGTCAGCGCTTCGTGTTTATGCCCTTTTTGTGCTTATTCTGAAGCTGCAGGTTTTATCTCTCTCCAAACAATATTGAATGAACCAGCAGCAAAAGAAGATCCAAAATTCGCTTCACATAAACATCGTCATGAATTCCCTCAATGAATTCACTTTTGCTCTTTTGCTTCCACCATGATAAAATCACATTTCATGCAGAGGTAGCTGTCTCTCTCTCTGTACTTCAAGAACAGTTTCCCGTCTAAAAATCTGTTTTCTGGATTATTCGCTTGCTTATTACACACAAGTTGTTTACAGCGCTGTCGACCGCTGTGCTTTTTCCTTTTACTTGCTTCCGAAAAGAAAGCCTCATTTCTGCTGTTCAATAGGCTACTGAACAAATGTAAACTTTTTAAAATTATGCAAACTTGCAAAACGCTTAGCTGTGTCTCTAATAAAACCGCTGTAACTTTGCTCTGCTTCACTTCAGCAGCATAATGTTCATATGTTGATTAATGGTTTTCTTTCGTTTTTGATCTACTGCAGAATATTTTTTATAAAATCCCAGGCCAAGAAAGTTTCCTTCATGTTTTTCTGTGTTTTATCCTCAGTTACTTTGACACAAAGGCATCTGCTGTGATGCTTACACCTTTGATAAAGTCTCGAAAGTCTCAGCTTTCTTTTTATAGAAATAAAAATATGGAAATGCACTGATACGTGATCAGAATTATAATATTTCTGACTGTCTGAGGCTAAATTTACCAGATTCAAATCGAATAGAATCGGATTGAATCAAATCGTGGATCAAATCGATTCTAGAAATCAGTGACGATACCCAGCCCTACATTTAAGGCGACCATTAATCATCTTGAAGCTGAACATATTTTGTATGGAAAAGTGGCCAAATATTTCAACATGACTTTGCCTGACACTGGTGGACAGTTATGCAACTGTGTATATATATATATATAGTTTTCTCTTGTTAAACAAATGTGCTTAATGTACCTTGTTAAGGCTAAAGGTGTGAAGTGTTTGCTTGTTCGAAGGTGTTGAAAAGTTTTCTTTTCACTTCACTGTAAATTCTTAAAGTCAGAAATTGTTAAACAGAGAAATAACCTTTACATTATTCGGTTTTGGATGTCACAAATGTTCTGCAGCCCAAGCTATCCACTGGTGGTGAAAAATGAAAATAGTAATAGCTCGTATTACCTAGTATTTCTATGCTGTATGTGGCTGAAGTGCAAACATCAAAGAGTGTATGATTGATGGTTCATTGGAACATTTTTCATGTTGGTGTGACGGTCAGTCAGGATGTGACAGCGCCTTTGCCCCTTAGACTGTCTGATGTTAAGGCTGGCAGCACTGGTGCTTGACTGCTTGGAGACTTTGTATGAGGATATAGCTGCTCAGAGCCGTATAGGTTGTTCTATAGCAAAGTCCTGCCCCAAAGTTAAGAAAAACCTTTTTTGAAGTTACTTTGAAATTCCAGGAAATAGCAATTTATTTGCTTTTAACAAGTTCCTGATAATAATTTTGTCCACCTTTGGTTTAATTCTTCACATTTCTACACAGATAGTGCAGCTCAGTTGTTTTTTTTTAATCTGTTCTCCAACTTATTTCTTTTTCTGAGTTCCCTGGTGTTTGTTTCTCTGCCAAAATGAAAGCCTTGTTGTTCTCTTTATTGTTTGTGTGTCTGTCTATCAGTAGAATTATATAAAGCCAAGATAGGGCACTGGCCTTGTTAAAGTGTTTTGCTCTCCAAATGCCCTTCTTTTGTTTCTTTGACTTAGCGTATACTGCTAGAAAAATTTAATGGCATTTGTTGGGAAAGTAGAATGTGTGTAGAACCAGAGGGAAGGCGAGTCCTTCCAGTTTTCTTTCTTGTTCCCATAGTTCATTCTTGAAAATAGCTGGGTATTACTCATTTTACTAAGAAGTTCTTTGAAATGTGTTGGTTAGCAGACAAATTACAGTCATTCTAACTAACCTGATAATTTGTACAAGTCCTCCATTTACAAACCCCTAAATTTCATAATATTTTCATGATTCATATCTTTTCCCCAAATCACATAGCATCAGTCAGGAAGTGTGATTTATTTTGATCAAAATGCATGCACTGTAGTTGTTTTTAATCATATTTTGTTTTCTACAGCTACATCTGTCGTTTTGCTGATGGCATGTTAATTGAAGCAAAGAAAACACTAACATAATGCCACAGATTGCTTTATCAAACACTAACATTTTTCAGTTTTCTTAACCTCTCGTCGCTCTTCCAGGTGGATACAATAGTGACACTGGGTGGTCTGGCGGGCAGATTTGACCAGGCCATGGCATCTGTGGAAACTCTCTACCACGCTCTGTCAATGACACAACTCCCACTGTTGATCATACAGGGAAAAAGCTTGGCATATCTACTCAGACCTGTGAGTATATACAAACCCACAAAACACCCACAATGCGTTTAGGTATTGTAGGTAAATAAAGTTACCGGTCCAGCTACTTGCCCTTAACATCCACATGCTAATGTAAAATTTCCCCTCCACTTTTTCTATTTTTTTTCTTTCTTTTTTTTTGCATTTTTGAGCTACAAAGCACATTTTCCTTTCATTTTTCATAAAGCTGAAGGATGGACTCTAGCTTTTCTTAAGCTGCATTATAAACACTACACACACAAGGAGACCTCTAGTATTTTACCCACACTATGCTAGCAGGGGAGCACAATGTCTCCCAGTTCTTCTAATCACCCCTCGCCCAGCCCTTCATTTTCTGTTCTTTCTCAAAAAAGTTCTTTTCCTTGGTCTGCTTCCACCTTGATTGGAGTGTTGAACACTTTGTTTCTTTGTTAAGTAATCACTTCAAGAGAACACACACACACACACACACACACACTTCTCTGCTCTTATGGTGCCCCAATTTGCTGTTGTGAATGAGAGTGAGCGAATCTCTTTTGATGCTCCTAAATTGTTTTCCCTCAATGCTAACCACTTTCTCACACTCTTCTCACGTGATTGAGTTTACAAGTAGGCTGAATGACCGCCATTTGGGACATGTGTTAGCCCCCTCCCCCACTCTCTCCATAGTCCCCAGTGTTGTTTATTTGAGAGGTCCTCGGGACAAACAACTAACAGTCACTCACTTCCTGATGACACCTTGTAACACCTTAAGTAAACCTCTCTCTCATACACACTCTCCCTACTTCTTGTCATTATTCCAAAGGCGTGTTGTCATTTGCTGCTTCATACCTCGACACCTCCAATTAATCTTACTTCAGTGAAGGTAAATTAAGCTCGTTTGTCAACGCAGCTCCAATTCGCCAGCGACTGATGAACGCAGACGCCTGTACATGAAGGTGAACGCAACCTTCGAAAAGCCCAGTGCTATTTGTTCAAGTTACATCTGTAATTGAAGTGTTTACAACTTTTGCCAAATATCCTCACCACACATATTTCGTGCAATCGCAGGTTCGTTAAGTGCTTCGTTTCAGCGTTTGGCACAATCAGCACATACGGAGTTCACGTTTTGTATGCAAGCTACACACCAAAAACAAATGATGACCAGAACTAAATTACATTTTTTTCTGTTTCACAAATTTGGGGATTATGTCACCAGAGCCAGCGCATACCATTCAAGCTGCTCATAACTGCAGTATCCCATTAAACGTGCACACTGTATGAAATGTATGAGGCATGCCTCTTCGTCTTGATTAAATCAGTGTATATCTGTGACTCAGGGATGAACTGATTTAATCAGGGTTGTGTCTGTTTGTTTTACTTTTTGTCTCCCAAATGAAGTGTCAAAGTTTTATTATGCTGTCTTTGGGAAATGTGCACAAGTCATGTGGTTTCTATAGCTGGCTCAGGGTGTCGCATAATTATGGTGTCTTTTATTAAGTTATGGATAGGGACACTGTGAGGGCTGCTTACAAGCTTGTGATTCTGTGTCCCTAAACACTAAGAGGATGTTTTAATCAGTCTAGGTCCCAATGTAGAGCTAAATTTACTCAGTTTCCATCTTTAAAAAAAAAGAGGAAAGTTGCATTGACTGCGTCTGCTTTATTTGTTTTTCTCTTAGTATCTGCTTTATTGAATCTCAGTTGGAGGACCAACCAGAGCCACATTTACTCAAATTAGCATCCCAGCCTATGAAGATGCTTGAGAAATCTGGCTCTCTGTGTTGTGGGACATTCAATGCACAACACTGTGTCAGCCAAATTCATGCTATAAATCATTCTAGCTTCTAGCACACACACTCGAGGTCAGAACTACAGGCCTGTTTACCTGATGCCCTTTCAAGGAGTGAAACTTGTCAGTGCAGTAGCTGATTTAAATGATAAAGTGTGATACCTGAGGTAACTTGTCTACCTTCTGTGCCAGAGCAAGTTCTGTACTGATATTAATAATTTAGTTTAATAAATATGAGACAGAAAATGGCTTCAAATGTTCATTGAAGTAATGCAGGGAGGGTAAGAAAGGTCCTTAAATAAATCTAATAGTATTCTTATTACTAATTTTCCCTCATGAGCATTTTCCTTCTGCTTCAACAGCTTTGTAATTTCCTGACCTCATACATCTGTAGAGTAGCTAACAAGTGGGAGGTGGGAGACTGCAAAGAAAACAGGCATCAAATATCTGCCAATCAGCTGTTAAATCTCAGAGCTAATGTGCAGACACAATTGAGTAATACTTAAAATAGTAAATTATTTTAATTGATGACTTTACCCAGTCATTAGATGTACTCACCAGCCGCTTTCTTAAGTCTACCTGCTCAACTCCTTGTTTAACGCATATATCTAATTAGCAAATGGCATGGCAGGAACTCCATGCATTTAAGGATGCAGACATGGTCATGACAACCTGCTGAAATTCAAGCCAAGCATTAGAAACGGAAAGAAAGGTGATTTAAGTATTTCAGAGACTGTTGATCTACTGGGATTTTCCCACACAACCACTACAAAGAACGGTCCAAAAAAAGAGAAGGAAAAAAAATATCCACTGAGCAGCAGTTCTCTAGATGAATGTCTTGTTGATGCCAGAGGTCAGAGCAGAATGGCCACGCTGCTTTAAGCTGATAGGAAGGCAGCAGTATCGTAAATAACCACTTGTTTCAACCAAAGTACTGAATACAGAAGATGATTTCTGAACATGCAGCATGTTGAACATTGAAGCAGATGGTCTACAGCAGCAGAAGAACATACTGGGTGCCACTGCTGTTAGGTAGGAATAGAAAACTGAGGCGTAGACTCACCGAAATTGAACAATAGATGATGTGAAACACATTGACTACAATGAAGATTTTTTTTTCTTCTGTGATGTGGCATAAAGAACATGGACGCATGGATCCATCCCACCTTCTACTGAGGGTTTGCACAGATAGCCATGATCTGATGGCTGCTTCCAGCAGGGTAACAGACCACATTGTCAAATCATCTCAAACTGGTTTCTTGAACATGACGATGACACTCAGAAGGCTTCTGCAGTCACTTTTGGATGTGGCGGAATTGCAGATTCATATGGATGTGCAGCTCACAAATTTGCAGCTGCTGTGTGATGCTGTCATGTCAATATAGACCAAAATCTCTGACTAGTGTTTCCAGCATGTTGTTGAATATATTCCTTGAAGAATTAAGGCTGTTCTGAAGGTGTAAGGGGATCCAACCTGGTACCAGCAAGTAAAGTCTAAAGTAAAAAAAAAAAAAATAGGCCATGTTGTTATACCAAAAAATAAAAATTATTTTATTTGAAGCAGAGATGTTGGTCGGAATTAGAAAACAAATTAGTAAGTATTTTGGTCAAAAAATCTATCTTGTAGTTTGTACAGAACGTCACAGTTTCTGTGTACTGCGTGGAAAGCTTCTCTTTCTTTTCATGAAATTCAAGCAGCATCAGAAAATATGCACCATCTGATTTAAAAAAGCACCATGCAAAATTACAGTACCATTATACACGGCCGACCACTGTGTTTATCTTTATTGAATTATGTGAAAATTACACCAGGCTGCTAAAAAGTAAGCTCAATCAATACCACACAATTCAGCCTGAGTAAACAATACAAGCGTTGTACCTACATGGTTTTTACATGCTTTTGTTGAGTGTTAATTATATATATTTAATACATTGGAATAAGAATGCCCTTACATAGTAGTTAAGTCACAAGTAACTTAACTTTAAAAATTAAGCTTGCCCCCTGACAGAGTTTGACTCCATGTTGTCTGTTTGTATCTTCACAAACAGAAAGGGCTACATTCTTATTCTACGTCAAGCCTCTCCTCTATATGTGTGTGCGTGCTCATGTGCAAGTGCACATGCGTTTGCCTTGCTTTGATTTATTTACTGTGTCACTTTGACACGTTTACACAAAGATACTGTGTTTAAGTATAGAAAACATCCTCGGGGTTGTTTCCTAAACACCAAAAGCTCCAAAGCTCAGAATTTCCCCATCATTCCTTCCCTCTGGCTCTGCAACTCCAGGAAGCCAAGCAAAGAAAACTTTAAACACGTCAAAAGAAGGATTTCAAACTCTTAATTGAATATCATGCTGTCTTTGCCTGCGTGATACTTCTATCTTTTAGACGACTGGTGCAAGCTGTAGCTGTCAACACTTTTTGTGTTGGCATTAAACATACCAACTCAAGTGTTACGAGTGGATGGTGAATTCAACGTACACGGCAACGGTAGCCCCGAAACGTATCGCGTTGATGGCACGTAATTGCTCACTCTGAGGCTTGTTATACTTTCCTGCAGCCACAGAATTGTTTATCAAATATGTATCTGTGTGCTAGAATGAAACTAGGGTATTTCTTTTTATATTTGGTGTACACCGTGGATGTGAGAAACTTTGTCTTGACCTTTTGTGTCCCAGCACCAGGCTTTAATATAACCAGTGCACTGAGACCAAAGTCATTATTTAGCCTGAAAACTTGGAAACTAGCTTGCACCTACACTGTGCGACTCCCTTGCTTTTTTTGTCACCCAGCCCGAGTTTTTCAAAGGGATACTGTGACATTTCAGAATTTTGTTTATGTTCGTTGGCTTTGTAAAGCGCTACATGAAATGTCACCGTGGCTCAGAAAAATTTCTTTATCCATCTTTTAGACACAATTAGGAAATAGAAAATTTACATTAGATTCTCTGCTTTCAAAGGCATTAAGATACATTACAGCAGAAAGAACCTTTTTTTCTTGCTTCAAGTGAGGTATCTGTAGCTCTGTAATTATTTTTGACTTTAAAGTTGCTTGTGAGTACAGTTATAGGTGTGATTAACAAAACTGTCGTGCCCCCCTGCAATGCAAAGAAAAGAAGATTATAATTCAAAATGGCTAGGTCTCCCTCTTTTTTTTTTTTTTTTCTCCTCTAGAGTAAGAACCAACAATTGGTCACAGCTTTGACAAGAGCAATAATTTATTTTAATGAGCCTTGGTGAAGAAGTTTCTCTGTTGGGGCTCAAAATCTTTAAGAAGTCTTTCTCCAAATTTAATTTCCGCTTTCATGTTTGTTTGTCTCAGTGATTTTGCACACGCACACACACAGAGTCACATAGACACTAATTCATGTTCACACTAATGCTGTGTGCCATCAGGGCAGCCACAGACTGGAGGTGAATACAGGTCTGGAGGGGGACTGGTGCAGCCTGATTCCAGTAGGTGGACCCTGCCAGACACTCACCACTGGGCTCAAATGGAACCTGAGTGAGTCCCTTGTTGTCTATTTTTTTTTTTTTATTATTTTGATGATTATTATTATAATTGCTGGCATTTGAATAGCAATCAGTCTTCCACTTTTATTGCTGCCAAACTTTTAGGGCTCCGTACAATCTACAGTATGTTTGTATAATGTGTTTTATTATTAAATGAGAATACAAACTTAATTTATTTATTGCTTGCAGAGAATTTAAATTTAATTTGAAGTTTGAAATGTTAAGTGCAGTTGTGTTTATGTAGAGCCAATTCGCTACAAAACCATCCCCATGACTTCCATATAAGGCACTTTTCATCATACACACTATGAAGTACAGATGCTTAATTTGCTTCAGTCAAATCAAGCTGTGGTTTTAACTACTTTTAAGTGTTACACGTATGTTCTAATATGTGACAGAGAGCCTTTTATATTCTTAAATATTTTGTTGAAATCCAATCAGACACTCATCTGAGGACCCATGTGGTCTTACCCCACTCCAACTCTTTTGGCCAGCTGTGTACTTAATGAGTTGGCACAGAACAAACAGCCACCCGTAGGAGGGAAACCTGAACCTTCTGTCAGCGGGGTTGCGTAATATGTCTGCAACTCGGTTGATGTCCACTCTCGTTGTTTCCGTGTCCATGTGTATGTTTCTGGGAGTCTATACACTCGAGTGAGCAGGCGCATGTGTCTCCACTTGTTTTAAAATGTCCCTGTGTTTGAATATGCGAGCGTGAATGCGGACCGTGTGTAAACTTGTTGTTTGTTTGCACGTGTGTGCATGTGTGTGCGCGGGTTTTTTTTTAATCAGCTACTGTGTGTTGTATATTTACTCAGCACACCTGTGAGATGGCCTTCTGAATGGTAATGAGAGGGACTTTAAACATGAGAGTATGCAGATTAGCCAGTGATAACAAGATGCATAATTAACAACATGCATATTTAGAAGGATAGAAGTAATGATTTCCCTGTGGGGTCGGAAGGAAGGACCTGAATATGAAACAAAAAATTATGGGGTTTTTTCCCCGTCCTCACATGTTTTCCTTTTGCATGTATGAGTTTTCATATAGCAACAGTCAGCGTTGGGGAAGCTACTTTGAAATCATAGCTTTGGAACCTTCCAATTACTTCACTTGAAGACACTGAACTTCAGCAAAGCTACTCTAGGGAGATGTCTGCTTTGGTTATCTAAAGCTACTTGGAAAAAGTAGTTCAAACTGTTTTGTAAAGAAATAAATACTCTTTGCAGTAGAGACTATATTTACTCTTGGTTAGTAAAAATGGATGTGATTAAGCGTGGATATCTTTTTCAGGCTTAGATCAGGGATCTTGATCTTTGATGACATTGGGGATGTATGCTTGTTCTTTTCTGGGTGGCTGTAGCTCAGAAGCTAGAGCTGGCCATCTACTGATTGGAAGTTTTGTGATTCGGTCCCTTGCAGTTCCAGTCTGCACGCCCAAGTATCTTTGGGCAAGATACTGAACCCCAAGTCGCTCCTGATGTGTTCATTGGAGTGTTAATGTGTGTGAATGTTAGATAGAAAGCATTTTGGCATAGAGTGCTTGTATGAATATGTTTGAATGGGTGAATGAAGCTCATAGTGTAGAGGACTTGTACTACTTGAATAACTGCTGTATGGAAATGTGAATGCAGCTAAATGCTGCTTCTTAACACTGGCAACAGTGAGTCTTATATTACCCTTTTCTTTCAGTTTGTGTGTTTGTATTTTCTGTATAAATTTCTGCACAATTTTCATTGCAACTTGCTCGGGGAAGTCCAAGCCACCACATTGCCAGCCTCTGGTGACACTATGACTCTTTAGAAGTCCATTGAAATGATACTCCACACTTTGGTTCAAAGCATTTCTATGATGAAAAATATATGATCATTCAATAAAGACAGAGTTTTAGGCTGTCAGCCACTGCAGCTTTGCTGGCCCAAAAGAGACTCTTTTTTTCTTTGCATCCAGGGGTTATTTTTTCTGTTTCTTTAAAGAATCCAATTGTTATCAATGTTATGTTGTAGAGAGAAACATTTGAATAACCATCCAATTATTCGGCAAACATATTTCTGGTTATTGTACTCCATGGCAAGGAACGGATTGAGCCGAAATACCCTTGGCCCAAATTAATACGATCGCATGCTAGTTTATCAATAATTGGTATTGTTCTGATGTCAGATAAGACACAGTACATGTGCAACCTCATATAATTGGGGGGCAGATATCTTGAAACACCAAGAAAATACATGAGTAGATACCAGACAGGGTTAAGAAAGAAGCTGTACTTCTGTTGTTTTCCTCAGCTGACCCTTTAAGATACAAAGGTCAGCTGACACCAGACTGTCAACAGTGGAACTTAGGAGCACATGGGTCAGTGCCCCATGGTACAAGCAGGAGGGAGATACTGATGGCAGCAAAGTCAGCATCTGAAGGTCATGTAGAAGCGTTGTGTTTTGAGATTTCTGCAGGCAGTTTGCAGATAATCAGTGATCAACCTATAGCTTATCAGCTTACCCACACTTATTCAGGCATTTTAAAGGAAAGTAAAAAGTAGTGGTTAGTAAATGTTGATGAGGTGCTTGTCTGCAGACTTCAAACTATCATACGGAGTAAGTTCCATTGAGAAAACATACGCTATATGGACAAAAAGTCTCAATGCCGTAAGCATTTAAAATCGTGTACCTAGCCATGCAAGTCTGCCTTTTACAAACATTTGTAAAAGAATTGGTCTTACTGTAATAAGATCCATGTTCCAGCAAGTCAGTTTGTGGAATTTCTTTCCCTCCAGGTACTCCAGCATCCAGCATCTACTATTGCAAAGTGGAAACATTACATACCAATGGCACTGTTGAGACACACACTCCATAAAAACGTCCTCTGACATTAACATCAGCAGAAAAGTGCACACAGGGAGCTTCGTGGCATGGGTAGTGCTGGTGGCCCACTTTCATTTTATGTAATTTCTTGCTATAATTTGACATTTTGTACACTGAATTGATTTTCCGCATATTTAAAATAGAATATTTTTACACTGATCATATCATATATACACTGAAGGGTAAGATGGTGCTGGCACAGCTGGCAGCCTTAACCCAATTTCCCTCGGGATGAATAAAGTATTATCAATCAATCAATCAATCAATCAATAAGGCAGACTTTTACTATAGATGTCTGAGAACTTAAAACTAGTATTACCACTTTGCAGTTGTATGCCTCTATGACCAAATTCTCATCATTTCTATCTTGGGTTTAAGAGGACTCTTTATTTTGTTTTGTTTTTGAGAAATTTGATAAAATTCCCATTTTTTTCAACCGTTACTGAGATATCATGTTCACAAGATTGGAATGGAGGGAACCTGAAAATATAATAATTTCAGCCATGACTGTGGTCAGCACGGAAGAGTAAAAATGCTCATTTCGAGCTTACCGTATAAATTTTATACATGTCCATTTATTCAGCTTTTCATAGTGTAGCTTTTGAAGTGTGGAATGGCAGAAGATTAACTGTGTCCTCTGAGGCAGTTAATGTCTTTTGCCACTGTTGTGATATAAACTTTTAGTCCCATCAACTAGAAGTTCAATAGAAAGAGTTTGAATGCACAAGCTTTCTATAAAGTTTCTCTGAGCCTGTTGCACAAGGAGGGGAAAAGGAGAAAGGTGAAACAACTATCTGCAATATCACTAAGGCAGAGGAAAAAGCCTTCAGATTTCTGTGGCTCGGAGAATGATACTAAAGGAGGGTTTTGGCTGCTAAATAATCAAGTGACTGCAGTGTACTAAATCTAACAATATAGGGCCAAGTGTACAATTTTATAATGAATTAAATTAATTCATTATAAAATGTACTTTGGCATGAATATATAAAATATGAAGAGAATGGAAACGAGAGATAGATGAGATGACTGTTGTAGTGCATATTGGCTCTCGTTTACCTATTCGCTACTTTCTTCCCCTTCACCTTCCAGCTTGCTCTCATTCTCCTCTTTTCAGTCCCTCTCACACTCCTAGTATCTATTTCCCCTCATTACTAGATACTCTGACAGCTGAGCTTCTCATCACCTTTTGTATGTTACATTAATTTTCAATCATCAACTCTAAAATCCCCCCAGGCAAACTGTCAGTAAATACCATCAGTGTGTGTGCGCAAATATGCTGTCGTATTGCTGGCTGTGTCTGTGCATCACGCCGTACGAGCTTGTATTCGTGCTTATGTGTGTACATTAAGATGGGTTGTGGGATTTAGATGATGGCTAGAGGCAATATTCTGTAATGATACCGTTTCTCCTGAATGATTTTTAAAATTCATGTTCATATGTCACATGCTCCGACACAGTTATACAACGCACCCATAGAGTCTGATGTGATAGACAGGATTCCTGTTCGTGTTCATCTAGCCGGGCAAAAACGTGGAACGAAAACATCTTTTTATTATGACATGTATTTTTAGTTAAATGTGATTTTTATCACCTGATAAAGGGGAAGCTATTATTGATGTATACATATACATAAACACTTAGGTCAACAAATATTTGACACACTATTGTCTCTGTACACCATCGAGCTATAATTGAAGTCCAGGGGTTTGGCCTGAATTTAAGGGGTTTGATAGAGGTATTGCATTGTAATTGTTTAGGAATTACAGCAATTTTATTAAAAGTCTCCCATTTTTATTGATTCAAAGATATTTAGACAAACTACATAGGAGAGGTTTTTTCATACTTTGATGAACATCCAAGGTCTAAGGCCTTTACTGCAGCTGCCTCCAGCTGCTGCTTGTTTGCTGGTCTCTGTCCACAGTTTTGACCTTTAGTAACCTAAAAGAAGGTTTGGCTGGGTTGAAATCAGATGATTGTCCGGTCTTGATTTAATCTGTTCAGAGATTTTTTTTTTCCAGAACTGTACAGGCTCTTTTACATAACTTCTAACAAAGTCTAAGCTGGCTTTCCTGTGATTATGGACAATGCTGACAATTATATGACTGCCTTCTTTAAGGAATTCTGTAGTTAACT